ACAAAATTTGCACTTTGTTTCACAAAATAGAAAAAAAAAGTTTTTAACTACATTTACAAAACACCTCAATCAGGAATTCCAGCAAAGTTTAAAATTTGAGACGGGTAACCGCCAGCCAACGAAAGTTAAAAAAATATAACGGGGTGTCTGAGTGAAAAGATTAGCAAGGATTAAATTGGTGGTAGGTCACGGCTTATTCTGTTATTACAAATTGCATCGTAAACATTAATACATTGATGTCAAAAATCGATTATGAAGAACTCCAACAGTTACCGACAGCAAATATTTGTTGAAGAAACAATTTTAGCCGTAGGAAGACAAAAACTTCTAAATTATTTTACGAATGATAAAGAACAACATTTCTTTTAGAGGATTTTTTTTATCAAACATCAACCAACACAACAGCATGCATGGCGTGAATGTATATTAACGCAGAAAGAAACCACCGCGATGATGCGGCTAAAGAATCACCACGAAACATTTACAACGCAGTTGAAAAGCATCAATAACAGAGAAACACGAAGATCAACATGACAGCAGTAGAGGCAAGACAACCTCACCAGCAAGAACTCCATGGAACACCGGCGGTGCATTTGCATGTAGACAATTCATGAAACAACATATAACAACATTCACATCAACTACAACATCAACATAAAAAAATCAACTAAAACAACAAAAAATATTAATATCAACGACAACATCAGCAACATAAATAACAACACCAATAACAACAATAATGACGACATCAATAACAGCAACACAGCAACAACAGTGGTAATAACAATATTAACAACAAAAACAGCAACAACAGTAGTAATAATAATAATAGTAACAACAACTAGGAGGTGCCTACTGCCTGAGGGGAATTAAAAAATCATTTTCTTCCTCTCGTTTATTACGAGATTTGCGCGGGAATTCAATTTACACTATCACGTGACCTTGAATGTCTATCACGTGACATCTGCAGTAACGTAGGTTAGGTTAGTTCAGATGGCAAACTGGGGGTTACGTGGATGTCTGTATGTATGCTTCTTTGCATGTTTGTCTGTCTGTTTACTTCATATGTGTTTTTGTCTGTCTGTATTTCTATCTGTCTGTCTGCCTGTTTCTCTGCCCGTTTGTCTGGAATTTCGATTCAATAATCGTAAAATTTTTAACAAGATATACTGGTAATGTTTGTGCGTTTTTGGTTTTGTTTGTCTGTGTTGCATTGTATCTGCTGTTTTTAAGTGCTGTATAAGTTGTATGTTTCATTTAAACGTATGAAAGAACATTATAAAAAACAAAAAAATTATACAAACTATAATAACAAATCATGCAAATTCATGCATATTTAAACATACAAAAACAAGCAAAAAATGCAAATCAATTAAATCATAAAATATTATAAGCACAAAATAGAATATAGTAAATAATATCATATTATATATATATATATATATATATATATATATATATAAATATATATATATATATGTTTTTACAATATTCTATAAATTCTGCCGAATGTTTGGCG